GTGGCAGAGAGAGAGAGAGAGAGAGAGAGAGAGAGAGAGAGAGAGAGAGGGGGGGGGAGGGAAGGGAGAGAGAGAGAGAGACAACGGCGGCGGCGGCAGTTACGCCAGTGCGCTTCCCCGTACCCTCGTTCCCCGTGTACGTGTACGTACATCGAGCGCGGCCGCGTTTCGTTGAGAAATTCGCCGCGATCTCTCGGAGCCGTAGCATAATATAATTCGTACCTGCGCCACCCGGGGCGATTTGTTCCCGCTGGAAATTGCGGTCGCGTGTATATTTCACGAGGATCGCCGAGTATCGATTAATCGCCGATTACGGTCGAACCCCATCGGATCTGTCATTTATCACCATGCATCCGCTTCTCGCGCACCGCCAGGTCCCAAGGACTCCATCAGGCTTTTTTCGAAGGACGTTCCCTCCGTCCGCCCTCTCCTGCTCCGTCTTCTTCTTCTTCTCCTTCTTCACTCTCTATCTTTCTCCCATTCTCCCTCCCCCTCCTTTCTCTCTCTCTCTCTCTCTCTCTCTCTCTCTCTCTCTCTCTCTGCCACTATCTCCGGTGCTTCTCTCCTCTCCTCTTCGCTCTCTTCGTCGTCGCGAAACCGCTCGTAGTTCCTCGGGCGGCAAAAAGTGCGCGCACAATGTTGCGCGCACCGAGAACGGCGGCGGCAACTCGCGCTCACGCGCGCTTTACATGCCGATTTCGCGAGATTGCAGACAGCGCGAAATTAAGAGCCGCCAGAGCGAGTAATGACGAATTCTCGAGGCGAGGAGAGAGAGAGCCTAGATTCCAGTCTCTGCTGCTTTCGTGGCGAATCGTCCCATGGGACTGTCGAGAGTCACGAAGAAGTACGTCGGCTTCAAAGACGGTAATCGGATCGAGCCCACCCTCTTCCGTCTCATCTTCGGTCGAAGCTTTCCTTCGTGGTGAAACACTGCTGCGTCCGATGCGCGCTTCGTCGATCCGACAGTACGGCGCGATCAAGCGCATTTATATGTATTTTGCAAATTTATAAAGCGAATTATAAAGCGAGAGATTTCAGCGCGGCAAAGATTCATACCGTTTTCTTTTTTCTTTAAGAACTCGAGCAAGTTAATCTGAAAGTCGAGAAGAGGAAGTTAAAAACTGATACTGCTTCTCTCAAGTATTTTTTTGTTTTGTTTCTTAAGCAGTTTAAAAGAGCGGCAAACTGCTGCCGCATCCAGTTCTCCGATTGCAATTTCATTCGTTTTTTTCCTCTCTGAATCCCCTTTTATTCGATTTCAAAGGAATCGCGTTCGATTCGGTCTACAATATTGCGCGATTCGATACTCGTCATCGCCTTTGAATACCACCAAGTACTCGTTCACGTCGTACTCTCGTTCAACTCTCGGGAACTTTGTCGATCGCACCAGCACGTGTTAGACGCACTTTGTTGCCGAGGACGTGTGCCGAGGATGAACATGCGCACACGCGCGAGTATATCTCTGTTAAGCGAAATAGAGACTAGAATATCGATATGTGTGTGGCTTTTCGCTTTCTGTCAAGCTAGTCACGCTCTGTCTTCTGTCCTGTTATCTCTTCTCTTTCTTCTCTCTTTCCCTCGCCTCTTTCTCTTTCCTTACTGCCTCTCTCTCTCTCTCTCTCTCTCGCTCGTTCTTACATTCACGCGCGCGCGCACACACACACACACACACACACACACACACACACACACACGCACACACACACACACACACACACACACACACACACACACGTTCTCTCTCTCTCTCTCTCTTTCTCTCGCTTTCTCTCTCTCCCTCCCCCTCACTCTTCCTCTCTCTTTTCTCATTTACTTACTCAATCACATTCTTTTTATTTCTCTCTCTCTCTCTCTCCCTCTCTCTCTCTCTCACTCTCGCTCTCGCTCTCACTGTCTCTTCACGCAAGAATTTTCACGCGTTTCGTTTTTCTGCCCCACATGCTTGCCTTCCGGGACACAGGAGGTACAGCACAGAAACCCCAATATATGTCCCCGTTAAGTCCTCCTTTGCAAGAAAAGAAAAACGATCACCGACTGCTTACCTGACATTTTCGTTTTTATTGCTTCATTGTTTTGGTTTGTCTATCTTCCTCTCTCTTTCTCTCTTTCTCTCCCAGATTCGTCAATTCGTCGAGTCTGCGATATCTCTTTAATTCTCTCACGTTCCACCAGATCGATTCGTAGATTTGTTGATCTTATTCATGCAGAAATAACGATACTGGTGCGTCAGGTACGTGAAGGAGACTTAAAGCGACTTGGACACGCGGTACCAGTACACGTCTCGTCGATTGGATTAGACGCGTGTCTTCCATTGCATGAAAAGATAAAGCTAACGTGTTCTGGTACCGTCTCGATCCTATGCCAAAATTCCCATCAAATTTTGATTTCTCTTTTTAATTTTGTTACATATATAAGTATATACGCTATACTTTCTGTCATTGAAATATGTTTTATACCTTGCACTCAGGATAAATTTGACGACTTTTTGTATAGTTAAACGCTAACGTGTACCAAACGTAAGATACATCATATAACTTTCTATATCAAAAATATCGTAACAAAACGTGTATCAAACAGCTATGTGTCTTCTGATTCATCCTGGGACATCTCCCGATATGTATATGCATTTGTATTATTCATACATTTATTATATATACGTGTATAGATTTATATATACAACTATATATATATATATATATATATATATATATATATATACACACATAC